AGAGCGCTAGTAAAATATTCGTGACTAATACGTAATTTTACGTAGCAAGTGTGTTTAGAAAATTCATTGTGTGCAATTAATCATTCTTTTAGTATTTTTTGTCACTCCTTATGGAAAAAAAACTGATGTTGCTTTGATTAGAAATCACCGCTTTAATAGGACAATTGCACAATAGCGTTTTTAAATTGTGTTTAAAACCTCACTGGGCTTAAAAAATTTAAATAAGAAAGCACAAAGGAAATGAAGTTTGGTAGTTGCAGCTAAATGATGCCATCTTGAAATGACGTATTGTGCTCTTTATGTTAGTCTTACTAACAGGTAAAATTCATCGCTAACTTTTGCGACAACAGTTAAAAAGTCAGAGCAGTCCAAAATCTTACAAAGATCCAATTCAAGAATGGTGGGCATCCTCGAATCGGGCAGTACAGCGTTAAAAGTTATAGAAGCTGGAGCAATGATTGCATTAAATATTTTGTCACTTTTGGGCAACATCCTTGTTTGTTTGTCAGTTTACAGAAATAGCAGTCTCCGTACCACAACGAATCTTTACATCATTGCATTGGCTGTAACTGACTTGATAGCTGCAACTCTGGTCATGCCTCCAGCGACTGGAGTTCTTATCACAGGAAGGTGGCCGTTTGGTGAAACGGCTTGTCAAATACACGCTTATTTCAGTCTGTTTGTTGTGTATGTTTCACCTGTGACCATGGGTCTTACTGCACTGAACAGGTACATAAGAATATGCAAATCAAATCAAAAATATAGTCTGTACTTTTCGAAGAAAAATCTCGTATTTTTCTTGGATCTGCCTGGACATTTTTAGCTCTCTACATTTTAATTCCTCGCCTTACTGGTCTACAAGATTGTCATTTTGTGTCGAACTATGCAGCTTGCTTAAACAGTCACTTAAGTAATTTTGGAAAAATACTTCACTACATTGTCGTTCTAGGCTTGTTTTTTGTCCTTCCGCTAACTGTGACAACATTCAGCTACAGAAATGTTTTGAAAAAGATTCGGGAACACAATGCTGGAACAGCGCAAAGTCTTCGAGCAAACAACAACGAGACAGTCGCCACAACCGAAATTCGACTAAGCAAGTCTCTGTTTGTTGTCGTCTTTGCCTTCATGTTGTGTTGGGTACCCGCTTGGGTCATCACCATCCTGACCAGATTGTTTTTGGCAATAAAATGCCTCGCAATGTGCAGTTACTTTACATTTTCGTAAATATTTCGAACTCCATCAGTCCCTTTACTTATGCGGGGAATGAATCCTGTGTTTAGAAGAGGTTTCGAAAATTACTCCGATGTAAATTTGGAGTGAGGTCGAGAGTAGTTCAAGTCAACAATCATCAAGTAGAAGACCAGCCACTTGATGGATTAGCAGTAACCACAGCAAAACTGAAAAAACTGGGGATAAGAAGATGGAAAGCCTTGAGTGTCAAGCAATTAAGGATGAGAATACTGAGAAAAACTGACAGTGAGCGTAGCCGCTAATCTAATCTTTAAATATTGAGATTCAGATTGAGCTTATGTTAGCCTAGACAGTCAACCCGACAGGTTTGCAAATGGAAGCCGTTTACCTATAAACCGTAATCTGTTTCTGTGAAATATTTTCTGCAAGCGGAAATTCATATTACTAGCCTCTAAATTTTCCGAATTTTGAGGCAATAGTTAAATCACTCCGTTTAAGTTGGATCGGTAGATAATTAAGTGTCCATCAAATGAGACAAAAGTGTATCCCTAACTCCTTTTTCGAAAGATACGGTGGTCTTTCTTTCCTACTGAAGTGTAATTGTAATTCAAACATGTATCGCTCTTTTATTGGGAAATGCTTGATTACTTTAAGGAATTGCGTCTGAACAGGATATCAAGCTGATCTAATTCTATGGAACAATGAAAACATAACAATTGAAGACAAATCGCTATTTTGGAAAAAAAATGGGTCAAAAAGGGAATTTATTATATTCAAGACATTTTAAATGAAAATGGAAAATTTCTTACTTAAGAAAAATCTTAATGTAGATACAGTTTACAAGTGAACTTTTTGCACTACTTTCAAATCCTTGCGCCAATTCCAGTGGGTCTTAAGCCCAAAGCGTCTTCTGAACCAAGGCCTGCAGAATCGAGCCTTGAAGAGGATGCTTAGGCGTGAAAAATGCAAGGGTTAACCCCTTTAAATATTCATTCTTTATTCGCATAGTGAAAGAATGGAATAATCTACCGCAGTATGTGGTTGAAGCAGAATCTTTTAAACTGTTTAAAGCGGGGTTAAAGTCTTTTTATGAATACGTGTATATGTAAATAGTGATAGGTAATAATTTAACGTATTTTTTATTCCTTTTTTAGGAAACGTTATAGGGTTGACCTCGAGTTTCCTTTTCCTTTTGTATTTTATTTTTTATTTTTTTATCTTTAAACGTAATGAATAATCCAGCATTGTTTGTTTGTATGCTATGTTTCACCTCTTTAATGACAAGTCAATCTTGCTTTCAAAAATGCGATGCACGGATTATTATCTTCCTTTTCAAGAAAAAACAGAAATAACACCTATACAGCCCTGAACACGTGGTCCAAGCCAGAAGCCCTTAACCCTGGGCTCCTGTCCAAACATAACATTGATATCAAGAGTATATGGAAAGATCTGTTTAAAAAAATACCGCGGCTATCTATTGACAACAAATTGAGACAATTTTCCTTTAAAATACGACATCGCATATTTATTTAGTAACTAAAAAGAGCTACTAGAAGACCAACCACCTCGTGGGTAACTTACGTAACCACAGCGAGACTGTGGAACACATGATGGAAAGCCTCGAGTGTCAAGTATGCAGTCAAGTGGGATGAAAAGGCTGGATGAAAATATGCCAGTGATCGAAGCATTCATCTCTTTAGTTTAAGTTTCATTCAGTTTATGGTTGTCTTAAGTAAAACAGCCTGTCATCTTTGCTAACAAAAGCCATAAAACGCAATATGCCTCTGTCAAACACAGAATGAAAGTCATATTTTCTCAGTCTTCTGTAAGCAAGTCCGCTTTTGGCTTTAAATTATTAAAAATCTTTACGCACATTTTTCATTTTGTAGATTGGTAACTGAAGTTATAATCAGCAGGCATTCGAATAAAGCATAGAGCAATGAGGTGAAATAGTCAAGAAAAAACCTCTTGCAGGTCGTCAAGTTAACCTTTAAAGAAGTTGTAGATAAAGGTACAAAATGGACTTCATTTTGGAACAGAATTAACTTGTCGAAATTGACGGGGTAGCAGTGTTATCGTTTTCCACATAAGGTCTATCTATCACTTAAAAGGCGCACCTCGGCCCATGTTTGAATGTTTCGTCAACTACTATTAGAAACTCAATCTATGTCATACATGTATTATTAGACCTAAATACGCATAGTTAAACGAAGTTAAACGGTAGTTTGCTGAATAACACATTTATCTCCTACTTTATTAGTTCTGTTTTACAGTAGAAAAAAATCTATACGTAATTATAACTAATTCTACAATATTGTATGTAGTATAGGAGGGACCGGTTACGCCGTGTTTTTGGGCAGGAATTTCATTAACTTGAGCAGGAATAAATTAACGCCAATGACGTCATAACCTTTTGTCTTGGTCTCATGAATAAAATACACAGGGATGCCATTAAGATAAGGTCATGTGCTATTTTTAGTTGGTTTAGGATTTCTAGTTACTTTACTTGGTTAGTTAGAAAATAAGAAACGTTTTTATAGGTTAATTCATACTGTCTGAGGAGTAAAATCAAACTTGTCTGTGACTTAAAATCACGGAGGCGTAATGTAATTATGCAAGTCCTATTTGCTGCAGCTGTGATTGTCCTAGTTCCGGTTCACTGACTTTTGGCGGGCAAATCGTGCATATTAATGAGGGCAAAGACAAACTAGCTCTTTTTTACACTGCGCACAATGTTTTACCTACCCCTCCCTTTTCCATTTTATTTCCCTCCTCAATTTTTTCTTTTTCCCTTCTCTACAATTTTATTATTTTCCCTCCTCAATGTTTTTATTACCTCCTCCACAATTTTTTATTATTTTCCTCCCTCAATGTTTTTTATTCCCCTCCAACACAATTTTAATATTTTCCCTCAATTTCATTATTTTCCCTCCTCAATGTTATTATTCCTTCCTCTACAATTTTATTATTTTCCCTCCTCTTCCTCCCCCTCCTCTTCCTCCTCACTTCTATTCTTCTTTTGTTTTGATAGGGTCGATGTAGGGTCGATGTTGGGTCGATGTGGGGTCGATGTGGGGTCGATGTAGGGTCGATGTGGGGTCGATGTGGGGTCGATGTGGGGTCGATGTAGGGTCGATATATGATCGTTATTGTTTCCCCTCCACCACCACCACCGTAACCTCTTTATTGTTTTCCCTCCTCCTCCTCCTCATCCTCCTCCTCCTCCTCCCCCTCCTCCTCCACCTCCTCCTCATTTCTATTGTTTTTCCTCGAAAGGCCAAAGAGGCCAAAATCAGGCCTAAAAGGCCTAGAAGGCCAAACTTGGAGGAAAAACAATAGAAATGAGGAGGAGGTCGAGGAGGAGGGCGAGGAGGAGGGAAAACAATAGAAATGTTACGGTGGAGGTGGTAGAGGGGAAACAATAGAAATGTGGTGGTGGTGGTGGTGGTGGAGAGAAAACAATAAAAATGTGGAGAAGGAGGAGGGAAAACAATAACGATCCTACATCGACCCTACATGGACCCCACATCGACCCCACATCGACCCCACATCGACCCCACATCGACCCCACATCGACCCTACATCGACCCCACATCGACCCTACATCGACCCCACATCGACCCTATCAAAACAATCAAAATGAGGAGGAAAAGGAAAAAAATCAAAATGAGGAGGTGGAGGAGGGAAAACAATAGAAGTGAGGAGGAGGAGGAGGGGGAGGAAGAGGAGGACAAATAATAAAATTGTAGAGGAGGGAATAATAACATTGAGAAGTGAAAATAATGAAATTGAAGGAAAATATCAAAATTGTGGTGGAGGGGAATAAAAAACATTGAGGAAGGAAAATAATAAAAAATTGTGGAGGAGGGAATAAAAACATTGACGAGGGAAAATAATAAAATTGTAGAGAAGGGAAAAAGAAAAAATTGAGGGGGGGAATAAAATTGAAAAGGGAGGGGTAGGTAAAAAAAGAGCTAGTTTGTCTTTGCCCTCATTAATATGCACGATTTGCCCGCCAAAAGTCAGTGAACCGGAACTACGACAATCACAGCAGCAGCAAATAGGACTTGCATAATTACATTACGCCTCCGTGATTGTAAGTCACAGACAAGTTTGACTTTACTCCTCAGACAGTATGAATTAACCAATAAAAACGTTTCTTATTTTCCAACTAACCAATCGAAAACGAAGACGTTTATCGACCTTAAAGTAACTAGAAATCCTAAACCAACTAAAATAGCACATGACCTTATCTTAATGGCATCCCTGCGCATTTTATTCATGAGATCAAGACAAAAGGTTATGACGTCATTGGCGTTAGTTTATTCCTGCCCAAGTCAATGAAATTCCTGCCCAAAAAAATGGCGTAACAGGTCCCTCCTATACTACTATTGTAGGCGTTTTAATTCTACTCTGCAAAAAAATACCGTGTCAAATTCCTGACTAGACCCTATTAGGCAAACTTGCGATACTGAATTTATCTTTGTCAGGCTTTTAATATGTTCTCTTGTCTTTGTTCAACTGATCCGATTCCAGGTGTCCCAGTTCGACTTTTGTCCTGAATACGTTGAAAAGAAACCTAATAATGAAATATACATAATTTATTTAGCTTCTCAAAACCGCGAGTACAAATATCTCACAGTGTACTCATAAAAATATCCATCGATACTCGACACACTAAACCGTCCAATAAGATATATGTATTTTTAATTTTTCCTCCCTTATAACAAAACGTCTTCAAATAATTGCTCTGAACACCAATCACTAAAGCTAACGTATATGTTTTGATATTTAGATACAAAACACTCAGAGTACATGATCTGTAGAAGTAAATCGGGTAAAACATGTTGAAATTATAGTGAACGAATTATGCCATGAAGGAGTGCCCCGATACCGAGAGACCAATCCTATTATAGTAACATTAAAAAATGTCAAACAAACTTAGATTTATCGCTTTTTTTCGCATGGTCAGCAGCTATGCATAGTTATTGGAACATAAGAAATTTTGCACATGAAAAAATAGTTCAATCCCCACAGGTCTCCACGGGATTTTTTTTTTGTACACCAGTAATACGAGGCAGCGTGGCCGAGTGGTCAGCACATGGGACTCGCAATCCGGGGGTCCTGGGTTCGAGTCCCGCACTGCCCACTTGCTGGATTTGTTCTCAGTTGTCCCGAGTTCAAATCCTCGGCCACACTTGTAAATAGTCAACTGGGTGCCTCCTGTCAGTTGGGGTTTTTAATCTTGTTATGTTGTATTTGATCAAAGAGTTATTTTTTTTATTTATGAGTAGAGTGCCTGTAAACTAGCTGGATAAGCTAAGTGTACTTTCCATTGTAAACAAGCCTTTAAACCTCTTTTTGTGGCCGCCGTGAAGTCATCTGAAATCGATCTCTATACGCCGAATTCAAATTCTATTATATAAAAAAAATCAGTTAGATCAAGCAGAGTTTAATCAAACCAAGTGAGAATTAATAGACACTACTGTGTTATACGCAACAGTTGAAATTTGTGATTAAAGTTATCAGATTCAATGAGTTTATTTGGAACCAAATAAAAAATTTTATGTCTCCCCTTCCAATTTCTTCAATGCATGGATTTTTGGGGGGTGGGGTCGATTGCGGCTGCAAAGGCTTAGAGGCTCTCGAATGTGAACTTTGAATTATCTTACAATGGTTTACGATCGCATGAGAATTACAAGACGAAAAGTAAAATTACTTTTGGGTAATAATCACGAGCTCCTATGATAAGACCACTCGTAGTAAATTTACTTAGCCTCGATCTCATTATCTCACGGAGACCCTTTATAAGAGGGTGTAACCTTTTGTTAATCCTCTCGGTCTGAAAGCTGACATCAAGCCGAATCTTCGATAGCTGACCCGCTTATCCTTTGAACAAGCAATCGACCCACCTCCTCCCCAATCTTCCACCTTTTTTACTTGCTTTAGGTATTTCTTGTAGTTTAGTTGCCTTTTTCTTCTGGCCCTCACCTTTGCTAGACCTATAAATTCGTAAACATTATTTCATATTTTAACATTGATAAGATGATTTTACAGTTTTGAATAAAACCGGCCATGAACTTGGCCATGTTTTTTAATCCCAGACCACAGTCTCGGTTTTCTTTGTTTCCTAAGATAGGCGTCTAGCAAACAAAGCTCAGCTGTTGGCAGTAAAGGGGGGTTTATTGTTAATGTTTCAGTAAACCGGGGAGGAGACATAAAAAAACAGAAATGACTTTTAACAAAGAGGCTAAATTGAGGGGAAGGATATGTGTAGGAGTGAAATAATCTACAGATTGTTCGTCAAATAATGAAGTAGGTGCATTTGAAAAGTCAAGGCGAGCTGTAAGTCATTACTTAAGACCGTTGTCACTCCTAATGGAAGCCTTATCAATGTTCGCTTCATCAGGAAACAGGAAATGCTCCCGATAGGGGAACTATCTTTAATGGCGGTTATTAAATCCTAAAGCAATTATTTCACAAAATATTGTGCAATTTCTGTGCAACGTACTAGTTTGTCGGTCTGTTTACGGAAATAACAGGCTTTTCATTTATATCATTGCAACTATCGTCACGCCTCTAGGTACTGGAGTTCTAATAACATGGAGTTGGCCTTTTTGCGTAATTTTTCAAATAGCCTATTATAAACATAATCAAAACTATAACAAAATTAAATTCTTAAATCTGATTGGCCATCAACTGCCCTGATTTCAGCCTTAATAGGACAGTTAAATAGGACAGTACGCGTCATGCCTAAGTAATTGGACAGTACGCGCCATCACGGGCGCGCTTAAATGGCTTTATTTTTTTTCACTGATAGCAAAAAAATCTCGGAATTTCTTGTGTTTTCATTTAAAAAAAGAGCCTAATATGTCACAAATTTTTTTAACGTTATGATTAATTGGTAAAAGAACTTCGTGTCATCCAATTCGGTCTGTAATCATACTCGTGATTAAACAAATCGGACTCCCGTATGATTACAGACCGAATTGGACTCCACTCACTCCTCTTACAATTACTTAGGGTCTCTTTAAATTGTACCTCCTAAATTTCAGGACGCTGTTAATGTACAATTACGCCTAAAACCTCTATGTCCACGACACTTAAAGCTACTTGTCTTTCCTATATCTCAGAGGTACCATATTTTCACTCCCTCTTAACATTACCCAAAGTTCCAATTTTAATTTAGAACAGAACCTTCGTGACAAACACCTATGCTGTGATCCTATCCCTCGGATTAATTAAATTTGATGAAAGTAGACGGTAAACAGATCTTATGAATTATGGAGTCTTAACTTTAAATTGTAACAGCTAAATCGCTGGAAGCCGTTAATATATCAACTACCCTTTAGAAAGTGTTTACAACCTGTATGTTCACGAAATTTTACGCTACTTGTCTTTCCAATAACTGGGGTGCAATATTTTCACCCCCTTTTTTGGCGTTAAACAAGGTTCCAATTTTCAACTTTATTTTCCTTACTGTAATTTAGAACGGAACTTTCGTGGCAAACACCAGATGCTATTGCCCGGATTAATTAAATTTATTGAAAGTAGACGCTAAACAGAACAAACACTACTTGATTTTTCTTAAACATCTAAATTTGTTTTCAGTTGGGAATCACCGTTACTGGATGTGGTTTCGCCAACTGGATAGCAACTGGAATTGTGGTCATCAAATCGTTTAAAAAAATTCTAGTTCAACAATGGTCGGCACTCTCGAACCGCGCAGTACAGCCATAACAGTTGTAGAGGCCGGAGCAATGATTGCATTAAATATCATTTCGCTTTTGGGCAACGTCCTAGTTTGTTTGTCGGTTTACAGAAATAACAGGCTCCGCACCACAACAAATCTGTACATCATTGCATTGGCTGTAACTGACTTGATAGCTGCAACTTTCGTCATGCCTCTAGCTACTGGAGTTCTTATCACAGGAAGATGGCCTTTTGGTGAAACGGCTTGTCAAATACACGCTTATTTCGGTCTTTTTGCGGTGTATGTTTCGCCTGTAACCATGGGTCTTACTGCCCTTAATAGATACACAAGAATATGCAAATCAGATCAGCAATATAAACTATTCTTTTCGAAGAAAAAATCTCTTATTTTTCTTGGATTTTCCTGGACCTTTGTTGCTCTCTGGATTTTACTCCCTTGTCTTACAGGTCTACAAGAATTCTATTTTGTGCCGAGCTATGCAGGTTGCTTAAACAGGCAGATGAGTGATCTAGCAAAAATACTACACTATATCGTCGTTCTTGGCTTGTTTTTCGCACTTCCATTAGCAGTAACAATATTCAGCTACAGAAAAGTTTTGAAAAATATTCGGGAACACAATACTGGAACGGCTCGAAATCTTCGAACAAACAGCAACGAGACAGTCACAACAAAAGAAATTCGACTAAGCAAGTCTCTGTTTGTTGTCGTCTTTGCCTTCATGTTGTGTTGGCTACCCGCTTGGGTCATCACCATCCTGACGAGATTTTTGTTTGGCAATAAAATGCCGCGCAATGTTCAGTTACTTTGCCCTTTTTCCTTAAATATTTCGAACGCTATTAATCCCTTCATTTATGCTGGAATGAATCCTGTGTTTAGAAGAGAGTTTCGAAGATTACTCGTATGTAGATTTGGCGGAGAGAAAGTCGACAATCATCAATTAGAAGACCAACCACCTCTTGGGTAACTGCCCAAAAAAACCTCTGCATTTATGGTTCCAGCGATCCCGAGAACACCTGATAACAGACTTAGTATCCACAACGAGACTGCTTAAGAAGAGATGGAAAGCGTCCAGTTCCAAGCAATCAAGGATGAAAAGGCCGGATGAAAAGATGACAGTAACCGATGCAATAATCTCTTTAGTTTAAGTTTCATTCAGTTTATGGTGGTCTTAAGTAAAATAGCCTGTCATCTTTGCTAACACACGCCACTTACCAATAAAACGCAATTTGCTTTAGTCAAACAGACAATGCCAAGTCATATTTTCTCAGTACAAATACTTCCGTTCTCTGCAGGCAGGTCCGCTTTTGGCTGGGTTATGCCTCTAAATTGTTGATTATCTTTGTGCACATTTTTCATTTTGTAGATTGGTAACTGAAGTTATAATCAGCAGGCATTCGAATAAAGCATTGAGCAACGACGTAAAAAAGTCGAGAAAAAAACCTCTTGCAGGTCGTCAATTTAATCTGTAAAGAATTTGTAGAAAAAGGAACAAAATGGACTTCATTTTGGAACAGAAGTAACTGTTCGAAATTGACGGGCCTGGTGTGCCTGTGCATTAAAGGCCAGTGTTATCATTTTCTACATGGGGTCTATCTATCACTAGGCGGACCTCAGCCCATGTTTGAATGTTTTCGTAAAAACGCCAAAAACTCAACCTACCTCATATTAGACCTACGTACGCATAGTTAAACGAAGCTAGTTAACACATTTATATCTTACTTTATCATGATCAGTTCTATTTTACAACACAATAAGATCTATACGTAATGAATTCTACAATATTGTATGTTTGTAAATTATACTCTGCAAGATAATTCCGTGTCGAATTCCTGTGTCATTCCTGACTGGGCCCTATCGGGCCAACTTGTGATACTGAATTTATCTTTGTCAGGCTTTTATGTTCTCTTGTCTTTGTTCAACTGATCCGATTCCAGTTGTTCCAGTTTGACTTTTGTCGTGAATACCTTGAAAAGAAACCCGATAATGAAATATACATCATTGTAATTCAGTTTTACTCAGTTAAGTACAATTAACAAGCAAAATTAGTACAAATATCTCACGGTGGACTCATAAAAATATACTAAAATAATGAGCTGAACATCACTCACTAGGGCTAACGTATATGTTGTAGTTATTTTTTTATCTCAGGTAATTTTTGTTTCATTTTCTTTCGTTTTTGGGTATGGTAATGTATGCTAATCAAGTTGAAAAAAAGAAAACGAAAAAAGAAAAATTACCTGAGATAAAAAAAAAACCTACTGACAACATATATGTTTTGATATTCGGGTACAAAACACTGAATACATGATCTGTAGAAGCAAATCGGTTAAAAAAGTTGAAATGACATTGAAAGAATTATGATATGAAGGAGTGTCTCCATACCGAGCGACCAATCTTACTTACATTAAAAAATGTTAAACAAATTTAAATTTGTCGTTTTCTTTCGCACAGTCAGCAGCTATGCAAATTTCGTGGAACATAAGAATTTGCACATGAAAAAAGAGTTCAATCCCCACAGGTCTCCACAGGACTTTTTTGTACACCAATATGGCCGCAGTGACGTCATGTAAAATCTATCTCTATACGCCGAATTCAAATTGTATTATTAAAAAAACAGTTAGATGTTTAGAAACAATCAAGCAGTGTTTAATCAAACATACTGAAAATTGTTAAGAAAGAGTGCATTCAATTTCACGGAAGATGAATATTGTTCTCTATGTAAGTTTCAATTCAGTTGTGCTTAAAGTTATCAGATTTCTAAGTTGAGGGGAAGGATAAGTGTAGGAGTGAAATAATCTTGATTGTTCCTCAGATAATGAAGCAGGTGATTTTAAAAAAGTCGATCAAGGCGAGCTGTAAGTCATTACATATGACTGTTATCACTCCGAATGGGAGACTTCGCGAGGAAAAAGGAAATGTTCTTGATAGAGGAACTAGATTTAATAGTGGTTATTAAATCCTAAACCAATTATTTCACTAAATATTCTGTAATTTCTGTGCAACATACGAGTTTGTCGGTCTGTTTCTTTTGTCTAGCATACCGGGATATGTTTTCGACTTTGTCCCAACACCTCTAGCATCTGGAGGTGTTGGCCTTTTCATTCACGAATTACTAAATTACACAGTTTTAGAAAAGATCTCTAATGAAGCTTTTCAAGCCCTTTGGATTGAAATATCTTTTGCAAATAACAAAAACATTGTCTGTGGTATAATATATCGCCAACACAATTCTCCGGATCAGTTCATGTCTTACTTCGAAGAAACCATCGAAAAATTGACATCTCTTAATAAAAATGTATTTATCATGGGCGATTTCAACATAGATCTATTGAAATGCGAAACATCTCAAATTAGCCATGACTTCTTAATGTCCTTACAAAGTTGCTATCTCATTCCAACAGTTGATAAGCCCACTCGAATCCATAGGAACTCAGCTACGTTAATTGATAATATCTTTTTAAACAACCCTGACCAAATACTTCTCAGCGGTAACATCATCTCCGATATTAGCGATCACTTCTCTCAATTTTGTAGATCAAAGCAGCAAGAGATAAATATAGAGGGTACACTACCAAGATACGCGATTTTTCTAATTTTTCCGCAGACCAATTCAATAGGGAACTCTCTGAGGTTGACTGGGAATGTATCCTCGTAAATCATGCAACTGATCCAGACAAATTATTTTCAACTTTATATAAGAAATTTAATAAGATTGTAAACAAACATGCTCCCATTACAAAGTTATCAAAGCGTAAAGCCAAACAGCTTTCTAAGCCTTGGATTACTACTGGATTAAAAGCATCCATTATGGTTAAAAACAAATTGTATGTGTCCGGTGACGAAGACAAATACAAATATTATAGAAACAAAATTTGTAGCCTGATACGTCTAAGTAAAAAGATATACTATCAGGATTATTTCGAACGCCACAAAACAAACATGAAAAAGACATGGGAAGGAATAAATGACGTCTTGCATCGCAGAAAGAAGACCAAAATTATAACTGCTATTAAGGACCCGAATAAGAGCAACAAAATCGTAAAAGAACCTTCACAGGTCGCTAATATTCTTAATGACCATTTTTCGTCAGTAGGAAATAGGCTAGCTAGCACAATTCCAACGCCACAACAACATTATCTTAATTACGTTAGTCATTGCGAAGCACCATCTTCATCTTTTCTATTCTTACCGGTAACGTCCGACGAAGTGAAATTTCAGATACTCTCCATACCAAACAACAAGTCTTATGGTCTATATTCATCTCCCATAAAATTATTAAAGTGTGCAAAATAACTCCAATATTCAAGAGTGGCGAAGATAATGATGCGAATAACTACAGGCCTATATCCTTATTATCTAACTTTAACAGAATTTTTGAAAAGATCATGTACAACAGAATGAAAGATTACATCGACAAACATAACTTATTGTATTCCTCCCAGTACGGTTTTCGTAAAGGTCACTCGACTCAACATGCAATATTAGACATTGTAAACGCAATACAAATTAATATGAATCAAGGTCTTTTCTCGTGCGGAGTCTTCATAGACCTCAAGAAAGCTTTTGATACTGTCGATCATAACATTTTGCTTGACAAACTTAATCACTATGGTTTTCGTGGAATTATTAATGATTGGTTCTCCTCGTATTTGAATAATCGGGTGCAATCTACCCAAATCGTACCATACATTTCAAACAAAGCCAACGTAAGTTATGGCATTCCCCAAGGATCTGTGCTCGGCCCGTTGCTTTTTTAATTGTATGTTAATGGCTTACATCAATGCTCGAATAAACTTAAGTTTTATCTCTTCGCAGATGATACTAATATCCTTTATGCCGATAAAAACTTTAAGTCCCTAGAAAATATAGTAAATATCGAATTACAAAACCTCCACGAATGGTTAACATCCAATAAGTTAACTCTCAATACTACAAAAACTAACTTTGTAATCTTTCATCCTTATCGAAAAAAAGTCACTTACCAACCGAGCCTCTACATGTTCGATAACGAAAAAAATGGAAATGTAACTCTAGAGTCCAAAAATTATATTAAATATCTTGGTGTGTTGGTTGATAAAAATCTTACTTGGAAATATCACATTGACGCCATTACGGCAAAAATCAGTAAAACCGTTGGACTAATTTAAAAACTTCGGCACTCCATACCCCGTCATATACTGTTATATAGTTTACCAAACATTAATCCACCCTCACCTAAACTATGGTCTTGCTGCCTGGGGTGAGGCATCCAAGACGTCCCTCAATAAAATTTTAATTCTCCAGAAGAAAGTGCTTCGCATGATGTATTTTACGGATATACGTGAACACGCAATTCCTCTATTTATCGACGCTGACATATTACCAGTGTCATGTGTATTATAAAACTGTGGCTAATCTAATGCACGATATTAACAACAACAATTCGCCAACAAATCTGCTCAATTTATTTGAAAAAATCTCAACAATTCATTCATACTATACAAGATCATCTAGTTCAGGTAACTTTCACGTCAAAAGCTCAAAGCTGGAAATACACAAAAACTCCTTGTCTCGCTTTGGTGTAAAACTTTGGAATGAGATGCCTTGTCATATTAGAGATCTTCCTAAAAAGAAATTTAGGAAAGTACTTCACAGATTGCTTTCGGATATCTTAAAAAGAGAAGATGACTATATTGAGACGCCCTTAATAGTTGAAAAAGTTCGATTAATAGTTTAGTGATTTCTGTATTAAAGTATTTGTTTGTTTGCTTGTTCAGATTTAATGTAATTAAAATAAAACTGTGATAGAATATTATTTATTGTAACTTAAAATTGTAGTTTTCCTTCCTTTTCCTTTCCTTTCTTTTCCTTTCAATTTATTTTTCTTTTAACTGGTCCGCCTAGATTAGCAATTGCTATTTTGCGGGCCAGTCTATTGTAACCAATAGTCTTATGAAATAAAGTTGAAGTTGAAGTTGAAGTTTCCAGAAATAACAGGCTCTTCATTTATATCATTGCAACTATCGTCACGCCTCTAGCTACTGGACTTCTAATAACAGGGAGTTGGCCTTTTTCCGTAATTTTGCAAATAGCCTATTATAAACATTAGGGTCTCTTTAAATTGTACCTCCTAAATTTCAGGACGCTGTTAATGTACAATTACCCCTAAAAGGATGTATACAACCTCTACGTTCACGACACTTTACGCTTCTTGTCTTTCCTATAACTGGGGTGCCATATTTTCACCCTCTTTTAACATTAAACAAAGTTCCAATTTTAATTTAGAACAGAATCTTCGTGACAAACACCTCTTGCTGTGATCCTATCCTTCGGATTAATTAAATTTGTTAAAAGTAGACGGTTAACAGATCTTATGAAGTATGAAGTCTTAACTTTGCAGTGGTGCCTAAGCTTTCTCCCCTCGGCTCCATCGTCTCTTTTGCAAATGAAGACGACCACGTCAAAGTAAAGATTCATTAGCATTAAAAAATTTAGATGTTTAGGAAAAACCAAGCAGTGTTTTATTAAACCATAATCTTATAACCCCGAAGGGGTGATATGCTTCTAAATAAACATAATAAAACTGAACCGAAATATATTCTCTGTTAAGTAATTCGATCATCGACTTGCTATTAAAATAATCGGTATAAGAGTCTGCTACTTAATTTAGATAAAGACAAAATGAGAAAAAAAAGAAAAGAAAAGAAACCTGGAAAAGATGGGGTGAGAGTGCGCTAAGTAGAATAAACTTGGCTAATACGTGATCTGATGAAGCAGCTGTGTTAACAAAAGTCATGGTGAAGAAATAAATTATTTTTCCTATGTTTATTTTATTAATGAAAGTTGTCACTCCTGTTGTCACTCTAAATGGGAAAACAACGTGATATTACTCTTCCTTTGGGAAATCACCTTTAACGGTGGCATTGAAAGCTTTTAACCATTTGCATTGGGCTTACCAATAGATCATTTTGTCACCATCTCTTTCGATAGCAGTTTAAACTGTGGTCCTTGAGAACGTTTACAAAGACCAAGTTCAACAATGGTGGGCGCTCTCGAATCGCGCAGTACAGCCTTAAAAGTTGTAGAAGCTGGAGCAATGATTGCATTAAATATTGCGTCGCTTTTGGGCAACATCTTAGTTTGTTTGTCGGTTTACAGAAATAACAGGCTCCGCACCACAACAAATCTGTACATCATTGCATTGGCGGTAAGTGACTTGATAGCTGCAACTCTCGTCATGCCTCCAGCTACTGGAGTTCTTATCACAGGCAGATGGCCTTTTGGTGAAACGGCTTGTCAAATACACGCTTATTTCAGTCTTTTTGCAGTGTATGTTTCGCCTGTAACCATGGGTCTTACTGCACTTAATAGATACACAAGAATATGCAAATCAGATCAGCAATATAATCTATTCTTTTCGAAGAAAAAATCTCGTATTTCTCTTGGATCTACCTGGACATTTGTAGCTCTCTACATTTTAATACCACGTGTAACTGGTCTGCAAGATTTTCATTTTGTGCCAAGCTATGCAGCTTGCTTAAACAGGCACTTGAGTAATTTTGGGAAAATGGTTCACTACTTTGTCGTTCTCGGCTTGTTTTTCGTCCTTCCCCTAGCTGTGACAATATTCAGCTACAGAAAAGTTTTGAAAAAGATTCAGGAACACAATACTGGAACAGCGCAAAGTCTTCGAATAAACAACGAGACAGTCACCTCAAATGAGATTCGACTAAGCAAGTCACTGTTTGTTGTCGTCTTTGCCTTCATGTTGTGTTGGGTACCCGCTTGGTTTATCACCATCCTGACAAGATTGGTTTTTGGCAATAAAATGCCTCGCAATGTTCAGTTACTTTGCACATTTTTCTTAAATATTTCGAACGCCATCAATCCCTTTATTTATGCAGGAATGAACCCGGTATTTAGAAGAGAGTTCCGAAAACTACTAGGATGTAAATTTGGAGTAAGAGTCGAGAGTAGTTTAAGTCAACAATCATCAAGTAGAAGACTAGCCACTTCATGGATAAGCAGTAACCAAAACAAAACTGGGGATGAGGAGATGAAAAGCCTTGAGAGTCAAGCAATTAAGGATGAAAATACTGAGACAAACTGACAGTGAGCGTAGCCGAAAATCTAATCGGGGGCACCCAACGACAATTTTCGGAAAATACCTGTTCGGAAGACGATTTGAGATCTAGAATTTTCGGAACATTTGTTGTAAAATTTCTTGCTTGCCTGCCTCTCCTGGGATTTTCAAACATCTAAAAAATGGTATAATTGTCTATTTTTAACGGATTTTTACCCTAAAAAGGTCACCTAGAATTTTCGGAAGCCTTTTTTCTGGCTGAAATTTTCGAAAAGGTAAGTTTTGATCCCTATAATTTTCGGACCACTAGACTTTCAGCTAGGAAATCCGAACAGATGAAAAATTTTTAGGGGATACAAATATGCCTATATCTACCGTTTAAATACTAAAATACGTTTAACAATGCTATGTTTAAGTGGTTTTGAACTATATTCTCGTTGGGTGCCCCTGTCTAATCTCTATATATTGAGTTTATTCAGTTTATGGTAGCCTAAACAGCACCTAAACATTGCTAGTAGACGCCATTTACTTATAAACCGTAATCTGTTTCTGTGAAACAGAGAAAATATTTGATATATGATACGTTCGTCCGCTACAGGAGATCCGCTTTTGCCGGCTGACGAGGCAGTGTCCGACAAACGCAGACTGCAGACTTGCAGATTGGCAGGTAAACGAGATAAACATTGTTGTGAAATGCGCTAACAGATTCCCTATCCCTAAACTAGACTTTTAGGAGACTTAAAGTTTAGGGATAGAGAATCTGTTAGAGCATTTCACAACAATGTTTATCTCGTTTACCTGCCAGTCTGCAAGTCTGCAGTCTGCGTTTGTCGCACACCACGAGCGAGGAGCCGCAAGCAGTAAAATTTCTGTCTCGTAATTTAATCAGTTAAATCATCAAAGTTGACAGGTCTTTCTGATGATCAAAGCGACCGTTCGGTTTACCATTTACACCTTCAGTGGGAAGACTGTCACGGGAACATTAACACCTTCAGGATAATTGCTTACCATAACAGTGGTAGGCGCGCGTGTCTGGTCGGTTTCGAAGAACGTGATCGTGACTGTTGTTTTCATTCTGTGACTGTGCGCGTTGATATGCCACGTTTAAAACAGACTGCAACATTAAATTTTTCTTATAAAAGCAAAGAAGCTGCTGAGTAGAAACTAAACCGTCCCAGACTTCCTCCGTTTCATTCGTGTATTTTCATTTTGATAGGGTCTGTATGATGAATTTACTTCTGCCTTCTAATCAGGCACGTAAACAACATAGAGATAAGACATTTCATTTTGCTTTTGTGGAGTAAATTCATCTTTAAAAAGTTAAACTAGTGGACCACTTTCTCCGCGTACTTGTAAAAATAGGCATTTAATATGTCGCGCTAAAGTGCGAAAATCTTCTTGTCGTGGATTAGATTTCAGTTTACATATTGTTAATCTTCATTTCGCGTCAGAATAAATTAGTTTGCGCGCAAAGGGCTTCGAAAAAAATCACAAGGTTTGTCCCACTTCGAGTCCACCTTCCGGAGATACGCCGGCATGGTAGCTGGAATACATTGCCGAGGTGAAGATCTGGCATTTTTTCCTCCTCGTCTTTTTTTCCCCGCGACGTTTGTTTATATTTGTAGTGAGAATGCCGTGCATATCGGTGGATTTTACTACAGTCAAGGGGCTTCAGTTTCTGCGGCTTGCTACTCATCATAAAGAAGAGTGCCGGAATCGCTTTGTTCGCCTTTAACAGATTTGTTGTCGAATGCAAGGTAAAAGAACGGACTACTGTAAGGTAATAATTGAAGTTTAAATTTGTTTCTCGGCGAAAAATAGTGCATACAACTCGTGAAACCCGTGAGTATTACCTCTGTTTAATATACTGGATGTCATGCGATGACCCATCGCTTCTACGATGGATAATACGGATACAAACAATAATTTCTTTGGCAACATTTAGTATAATTTACTTAAGACCTCACTTAATATGGAGATCATCTGAGGACGATTTTTCGTTATATATACTTCATTTCTTGGCTTATTCCGGCTACGTGCGAAAAATTAGACGACAATGTTTGTGTGCTATAATTATACTGATAATTTCTTGCACCTTGAAACTCATGAAAGCCAAACTTGTTTAACCCTAGCAAGAAACTCTTTTAATGGAGGAACTCAACCTAATAGTTGCACTAAAATCTAATAATTGTTACTGCATTTGCATGCTCTCTGTAACCTCGTGGGTAGAACATACCTGATGGTTGCATTAATAATAATCACTGCATTTGCTCTCTTTGTCTCTCATTTTCTCTTTGTAACCTCGTGGGTAGAACATGTCGAGTCATTCAAGAGACAACAGCGTGCATGTGTTCGTAAAACTGCCATGTTTAATTCCTCCGCTCTATTCCTGTAGTGCGCATGCCTAAATACTAAACAACACACGCGCGTGACACATGAAAGGTTAAAGTTCAATAACACAACATCTCCCCTTTTTGAGAGATTGTAAAGTAACATACAACTCGGGTATGGAACTGAAATCTACCATATGTGATAACTGTCCGCGAAATTAAATAAAAACAAAGTTCAAGCACAAGTTTCAAAGTGTCTTTTAACTAAAGTTCAATGTTCAACAAAGTCCAAGGCTCTCTTGTAACTTGATAGAGGGTCTAGTGAGTCTCTTTGGTCTAGATGAAAGACAAGGTGATGGGAGTTGCTTCAAGGGAGTCAATGCCTTGTCTCGGGCTTGTTTCTTCACAACACTAGGTGAAACTGGCTTGTCCAAGACACTGGGCGACGCTGGTTTGTTGGTAGGGATTGGGTTGACATGAGAACGGTTTCGTCTCACTGTGCCATTCTCTGTCTCGACCAAGTAGGATCTAGGTGTTCCTGCTGCTCCAGCTATTGTACCAGTGGTTCCCATATCTTTGATGTGCACAGGAGTACCAGGTTGGACTGATCTCAAGGGAATGGCATTGTGCCGTTGATTGAAGTTCAGCCTTTGAGTTTCCTTGCTTCCTGCTTCCCTTTCACGTAGCTTGTCCATATCTGGCCAACTTGGATTGAGAACAGTGTGGAATGTTGGGATGGTGTTTCTCAGTTTCCTTCCCATGAGTAGTTCAGATGATGAATATCCACAAGCAAGAGGGGTAGACCTGTACGTCAACAGTCCTTTGGATGGATCTTTTTCTTTCTTCAGCAGTGACTTGGTGGTTTCTACTGCGCGCTCTGCTTCACCATTAGACTGTGGGAAACGGGGGCTACTTGCAGTATGCTTGAAACCCCATTCTTTTGCAAAATGAGTGAATTCGGCTGATGCATACCGTGGGCCATTGTCACTTCTTACTTCTTCAGGGATTCCATGCCTCGCAAAAATTGCTTTGAGGGCTCTGATAACTTCATGCGATTTGGTGGTCTTTTGCATGGCAGCCACCTCGATATAGTGTGAGAAATAGTCCACCACTATCAGATAGTTCAGCTTATCAAGCTCAAATAGGTCCGTGCCGATCATCTGCCAGGGACGTTCAGGAAAGAGTGTTGGCATGAGTGGCTCAGCTCGCTGCCGTCGGTACTTGGCACAAACTTTGCAATTTTCAACCAATGTCTTGAACTTCACGGCTGAGACCAGGCCAGCAAACAGAGGTCTTTGCGCGTTCTCTGCACTTGACTATTCCCTGGTGCCCTTCGTGTATCTTATCCAAAACTTGCAGCTTCATGGCTGACGGCACGACAACTCTAGTTGACTTCAGGAGTATCCCATGTACTGTAGTGAGCTCTCCTCTGGCTGACCAATAAGGCTTCAGTGCATCATTAAGACGAAATTTGTCTGGCCAGCCTTCCAGGCAGTAACTCTTTATTTGTCGACAGACAGGGTCCTCATCCTGGGCTTCCTTAATCTCCATTAGTTTCACGTCTGAGACTGGTAAAGAGTCTAGGACACTAGGACACTGTCAACATAGATGTTCATTTCTTCTTCAGGAACAGTGGCCATTCTGTTTGTGTTTTCTGACTGCATTCTTGACAATGCGTCTGCTATATACATTTCTTTTCCAGGTACATGGTTCACCGCTTTAAAGTGAAAACGCATGAGGCGCATTCTGAGCCGCTGAACTCTAGGAGGGACTTCATCCAAGGTACGGGTGGTGAGAAGAGGAACCAGTGGCTTATGATCTGTTTCAGCAAGTATAGACTTTCCCACTATGTAGTCGCTGAACCGCTCACATGCCCAGGTTAGGGCTAAGGCCTCTTTCTCTATTTGCGCATATCTGCATTCCACAGGGGTGAGTGCTCTGGATATGAACATCACAGGTCTCCAAGTCTGATCTTCTTGCTCCTGTAGGAGTACTCCTCCCAGCCCAAATGAAGATGCATCCGCTGAAACTTTGGTGTCTTTGTTAGGATCATAGAGAGCAAGTACTGGTGCAGCTGTCAAGATAGACTTGATTTCTTCGAATGCTTGTTGTTGGGGTGTTCCCCAGACCCACTGGCTATCCTTCTGCATAAGGTCTCGGATTGGTTTGGTCTTGTCTGCTAAATGTTCTGCAAACTTGCTTAGGTGGTTTACCATTCCTAAAAACACACGGACTTCATGAACCTTCTTGGGTGCAGGTAGGTTTACTACGGCTGCAACTTTGTCTGGATCCACCTCAATACCATTTGCGCTAACAACATTGCCTAGGAACTTGATCTTGGGAACTCGGAACGTACACTTGTCAATGTTAAGTGTAACACCAGCCTCACTTAGACGCTCTAACACTTTTTGTAATCTGTAATCATGTAGCTCTATGGTGGGGGCATGAACTAGGACATCATCAATGTTGCATTCAACTCCTTCAAGTCCTTCAAGAATTCTACCCATGCACTTTTGAAACTTTTCAGAACCAGAGCTAATTCCATAAGGCAGCACATTAAAACAGTACCATCCCCAAGGTGTGATGAAGGTTGTGAGTGGT